AGGGGATTGTTGTAAATGTCTTACTGCTGGTTATGTGCTTAATGGACGCTTGTCTGCAGAAGTGCCTGCTGCAGCAGAATTCACTCCGTGCAGCCCAGGGGTATAACGGGGGTAATTGGGGAGGATTAACTGATGATCATCTTTTGACCATGTGACCACAGGGTTTAAAAGGTCAGCAGTGGTTCATTTTCCCAGATGTCCACCTGTTGGGTTTTTTTTTTCTTTTTGCATCAACATTTCCTTAACCGACCATTGAACAGATGTGGTGAGAAGAAAAAGGTGCCTTTTTTTTTTTTTTTTTTTTTTTCCAGTCGGTGCAAAATGTGAAATATTGAAATATGAATTCAAAAACACTCAGTCTACATAGAGCGTCATCTACATAGTTTTCTGTTCTCCTGTTACCCCCTCTAATGTGCACAGCTACTGCTACTGAGGTCGTATTTAGCAACTGTACACCACTTTCACAACGCAGAGGTAAGCAAGCTCTTTAACAGTGTCATCGAATCCAAAATAAAATTACAGGAACTATAATTAACCTCTTTCCCACTCTATTTTTGGAGCTGGTACAAGTCATCGTCGTGGAGTACCATGTCCAATCTGGGGTATGAAGGCAGGACCTGCAAAAGTTTCTGCATAGCTTTACATTTCCCCCATCTGTTGATTAATATCAATCATCAGAGTAACGACGTGACGTCATCAGGTTCTTTGGATCGAGCCTCTCGTCAAATCCAGCTCTGTCACAATTCCTAAAATTCCACGTCTGAGCGCTCTGTGAAGAAAAATGTTTTCTGGTTTGGCTGTTAGTAGGATCTTCAGTCCGTCTCTGCTTTCGTCATAAATCATGCTGTTATTCAACGGAGCACAAACCCACGTTCCTACAGTCCAGTCTGTCTGTCGGAACTCTGGTCCGCAGCGGGCGACACGCCGTAAAAAAAAGTTCTGCTTGTCGTTAACCGGTGTCGACATGGAAGCTAACGGACCAAACGGCCGATAGAGTGAGAAATGAGGGGAAAAGGCAGAGAGCGTTAGACAATATGACTAAAAGTCGAGTTTATCTCGTAAATAATGAGTCGCAGACGTTTGACTATAAAATAAACCTCATAAAACTGATGGAATCCGTCAGACTGCGGGGTAAATAAACTCCACCCTGTCGATACCTGCAAAATAACCCGGAGGAAAAAATACGACTCGTGAATATATTTCAATTTTGACCATAAAAATGACATTTGAACAACGATGTCCCAGAAACTATTTCCTCTCATATTTAAATAGCCTTTCAACAAGACTGGATAAACAAACCTGCCAACCCAGAATCCACCTGTGCTCAACGCACTTTGGACGTGAATGTGGATGAACACGAGAACATGATCTGTGTCATGTCTCTGATACGGCAGCAGCCCACAGTCCATTCCTTTTCGTGGGACACAGCCCAACCCGGGTTATGGACTAGAGTTGAATCCAGACCCTTCAGCTTCAGCTTGACGGAACGAAACAGGTTGCTAGGCTACGACGAGTATCCTGTTGGGGTTTTGATTAGAAGTTGAAATTCTCATTCAACCCATTTTTCTTTAATGCAACAGTCTGGGCTGTACTGTATGTGGCCTGTGGGCCGCTAGTCATGTTTCATGTGGGCCAGACTGTGAAGACCTGCTGCATGTGAGATGTTGTTGTAGATGGACGTGGTGACCTGCTGTATGTGAGATGTTGTAGATGGACGTGGTGACCTGCTGCCACTGGGCCTCTGAGCCTGTTTTTTAGACGTGGTCTAATGTGATGGGTGATCTGGTCTACACTTTTATTTCTGACGTTTTTGTCCGCAGGTTCTGTGTATTTGGTTCTACCGTATCACTGCTTTCGAGGAATACACTCTGTGTACTTCAGATACAGCTTATCAAGTATAAAAGAAAGACCAGGACTGACTGTTGTTTGGTTCGTTTGAGAAATCAGCGTCCTACAACTTTTTTTTTGAAGTGGGATTTTCTTTGGTATCAATAAATGTCAGACCTGTCCTCAGACTGTCTCCAGGACCGAAGTCTCTACGGCCTGATTCTGGAAAGTTCTTCCTGCTGCATGAATGTCACTCATGCACTCAGACTTGTAAAATTAATTTTGTGAAAAACTCACCACAAATGTTATTTCTGAGATGTCAAAACCGATCCCTCTCTCTTGACACATACCTGATCCTCCTCTACATCCGTCTGTGTCCAGGACATGGGGGTATCATCGGGAGACGGGGGTTTCCATAATCGGCCGTCCTTATTCTCCTCGGAGGAACATCTATTCTTCATCACTGTCAGCTCCACGTCCCAGGAGAGACCGCGCTCGGCCGTCTCAGACCTTGGACGCTGCAGTGTTGTGGTTTTCTCTTTCCACACCCAGCTCCTCCTCGCAAACAAACACTGACATTCAGGAATTTAGTAAACATGGCTGAAGTGTCCGCTAATCTGTCTTCGCTCCAAACTTCCAGTAGCTTAACAAAGTCATTAATCACACGACAGCTTCCCAGTGGTGACTGTCAGCTTAGGAGTAGGAGTAGTGATTCCTTATCCCTAAGTGAAAAAACAAGCAAAGTGCAGACGGGACGGATAAATCACCGCAGAAGTGAAGACAGTTCGCATTCAGCGGTTGGCCATCTGGCACCGACCGGCTCCAAACCTGGTTGATTTTATTGATTTTCATTACGTTCCATCGACCGGAGAGAGACTTTCACAAACAACCTGTCAATCCAACCGCGGCAGAACCTTCTCTGCCGGTTGTTCCTTGGTACTGTATGTGGTACTGTTGGGTAGTGCGCTGGGAGTCGGTGTCTATTTTCAGAGTCTGAACCAGTCGTTCTAACTCAGGACGGTCATCATGTGAGTTGAGCTCAGTCACTGTCAATCAAACGGATTTGACCTGGACACAGTAAGGTGGAGTGAACCCATGATTGAGCCAACCGTAGACAGCTGTCGACCACAGCCAATGAGAAAGAGAGACTGGGACACAAGGAGTAGAGTCAAACACAACAGGAAGTAGAGTCAGAAGACAGCAGGAAGTAGAGTCTGAGGACAACAGGAGGTAGACAAAACAAAGATGATGAAGAGTGACAGTTGGGAGACTGATGGAGATGTGGCAGGAGCACCGGTGTCAGAGGTCAAAGGTTGATGTCTTCGGTTGTCTTTGTCCAATCCTGTCGTCATCATTGTGAGACTCGAACAACAACATGTTGAAACCAGTCTGAGTCTAGACCTTTGTGGTTCCCAAAGTAGGGGGCAGGCCACTCATAAGGGACATGGAGCTTTTACTGTGTTAATAGAAAGTAACTGTTCGTATAAACTAGAGTACTTTTTTTGTGAATATTTGACGGAAACGCTTGGTTTGAAATCTACAAAAGGGGGCGCTGCAGAAAACATTTGTGAACCACTGTTCTGTTCTGTAACAGGATTTAGTCTTCTTGAGTGTCCGTTACACTGTCCAGTTAGACCCAACCTGAAGAACTGACCGACCCAGCGACCGACATCCCCACACTTTGAACCAACTGAGGATTTTATTGGTATCTTTATTGATGTAGAATCATTCCTGTTCTTGTTCGGAGCTGCCGTCACTCTCTTCAGCCCGTCGTGTTGACAAGCACGACCTTCGCCCCAGAGTGATCTGTCAGCATGAACACTTCTCCAGGTGTTGGTCTTCAAACATCTGGTAAAGACAGTAAATGTCCCAGGATGCACCTGACAAAACCCTTTTCTCTCTGCTCCTATTATCCCTCTCTTCACGGACACTTGTGCTCCGCTACGGACTCAGGAAAAACAAAGATGTCAAGCCAGCATGCAGTACCTGCAATTACCACTGATGGTAATCGCAGCGACTGGACTGATCATTTTTCTGCTCATCTGACTTTACAGCTCATCTTGGTCCTGTGATCTGGACTTTAGGTCTGAGATGTTTACGTTTTTGTGTTTTATCTGAGTTAATTCAGTTTAATGTTGAAAATAAACTTTACCAAAACAAAGTTCTGTGTAATCGGTTCATTCAAGTCAGTGACAATGCTGTGTGTGTGTGTGTGTGTGTGTGTGTCGTACATCTTCCTGTTATATTTACACCCCAGTGAGTCTGTCCACTAACAGGGTCTCCAGCTGCCTTGGACTTCTCCTTCACCCCCCGACATCCTCCCTCCCGCTGCCGGACTCTCACTTCCTCACCTGTCAAAGGTGGAATGCGCTGGCGACACCGGTCCTCCAGAGTCCTGATAGATGTGGTCGCTCGCTCCAAATGTTTCCCGGCTCTTCTTCCAGACAATCGACAGCTGCAGACAATGGAGAAGGTACGGAATAACCAGGTGTGACTGAAGGGTCAGAGGTCGTGACCCTCTGTCACCTTCTTCATCGGACTGAATGAATTCACCTTCGAGTCCGGAGACGACGTCCCCTGAAATACTGAAGGTTTAAATGTCCTGTCTCTCTGTCCTGTCTCTCTGTCCTGTCTCTCTGTCCTGTCTCTCTGTCCTGTCTCTCTGTCCTGTCTCTCTGTGGTTCATCTTCATGGTCTGTCCACAGGACAGGAAGTGAATGATGTCAGAGGCTGGTGCTAAACAATCATTGGCTGCAGTAACCGGGGTCATTGTTAGGTGGCAGCAGAGTACGAAGGTGTTTAATACCATTGCTGTCGTGATGGTGGAGAAGCAGGAGTCGATCCCAATCATTGGCTGATGATTCACACTAACATTCACACGTAGGGACATTAACCTAATCCTCAGTTCATGGTTTTGGACTGTGGGAGGAAACTGGAGACCACACACACACACACACACACACACAGAGCGACCAGCAGGTGGAGCCGGGGATCAGATCAGTGACAGTAAATTGAATGCTGTCAGTTCTAAAGTACCAGTATCAGTTTGGAACTGTTTTTGGTAAAAAGTCAGAAACTCCAGAGGGAAAATTGAAAACTTTATTTTACTGCAGTAACAACAAGTATATAGAGTTGCTGTGATACATTTGTCGTCTCTATAGATGGAGGTTTCATATACAATTTCCAACAGGTTCAGAAAAGCAACTCCTAGTGGAAACACTGGCAAACTGTCTGTATACAATACAAATTATCAAAATCAGTTTTTACAACTTCTGTAGCCACCAACCTCAGCCTGTTGGTGCGCTATAGTGCAAACTGTGTTGATGAAAGCACAACGTCAACATTCATACATCTGAACTCCGTCTCCGCCACGTCTCCACCTGTAGGCGGCGTTCTTCCTGTCGTCATTTGAGTTTACAATCAGGTGGCTTCAAGTGTCCTGGGGCAGGTTTGGCTCTTCTGGTGGGGGGGGGGGGGGTGAGTTTGTGATTGGGTGTAACAGTGCTCCATGGTGGGGGGGGGGGATTTTGAAGTGAATGTGCAGAACATGCTTGTCATGGCAGCAGTGGCTCAAATGTAGGGTCGAGGGACCACTTGTGTTTTCGGTCACGGGGCAGATGCCGTCTCACTGGGGCAGTTAAAAATGGGCTATTTTGACCTCTTGACCCTGTGTGTGATTCTAACGTGTTCTGCTGGTGTGAAAATATCATGTTATGGTTCTTCCAGCTGTGTTTTTTTTTTTTTTTGCCCGACTCGTCCTCAACAATTCCTGGTTTCATTTTACGACGGAGACGTTTAATTTTATTTCATAACTTTGTGTCTACATTCACTCCGAGGCCCAGCGGCTCTGTGAGCGCGTCTACTATCGCTGGTATCGGACTTGGAGTCTTTTGAGATTTGAGTGCGTCGTAGATAAACGTAGAGCGGTGAAGTTCGTGAAAGCGTTGCTCTGCAGGACAGTGGGGGCCGTTCGCCGCCTCTACTCTGATTCTATTGCACCATAATCTGCAGGAAAGCATTGGAACTGTTGGAATCGGTTATGTCAACAAGTCTAAGTTGGAGGCGGAGCTTGAGCCACAGCCCCGCCTCTGTCCTCCTGTCCGTCTCCACACAGACTCCGCCGGCGCTCAGGAGCAGCCGCAGCGGTCCACCACCATGGCGGGGATCTTGCCGTAGATGATGTGCTCCTGGTGGTTGAAGTAGAGCATGTTGATGGGAGACATCTTGGTGGGGGTACAGCAGGGCCCGGCGCTCCCCCGGGGGTTGGCCTTGTTCACCAGGTGTGTGTGAGGGTACTTTTGTAAGTGCATGTACTCACACTCCCCAGAGCAATAGTTGGCTTTGTAGCGCTTTGGTGCAATAATCCAGTCCCAGCCGAAGGCCTCAAAGTCAACAGTGAGGGGGTAGCGGCAGCAGCGGGTCTCGGGGGAGTTCTCGCCGCAGTCCAGGCCCACGTCCCTCCTCGGTCTCTTGGGGCTCTCGGAGATCTTCACCTCCATGAAGGGTAGCTAAAAAAAGCCAGAGTGAGTTCAGCACGGTGTTAAAACCAACGTCTCGACGCCTGGACCTCAAACGTCGGTTCAACGACACGACAAAAACATTTTTAAATCAATCGTCGTTAAATTTGAGGGGGAAAAAAACCTAAAATCTGTCGAACCTCTGAATATGTTGACAATGAAATATTGCAACTTTGCTTTGTTTGTTCTCGCAGTTTTGGGGAAAATCAGGATTAAATAAAAATCTGGTCAAAGGTCAAAGGTCACACGGCTCAACACTAGACAAAGACATGACGATATGAAACTGGTCAAAGCTGCTGGACACACCTGATATTCCTCTGGCCACTGTTTCTAATCAGGCTGAATAAATCAAACCCCCTCCTCTGAATTCCCCAGTTCCCCCCGACTCACCAGTCCTTCCTCTCCGGACGCCGCCGTCGTCACAGCCAGGTCGTTCCCCCTGGAGTCGAAGGCGTTGACGACGATGCCCCAGTTGGTCTCCGGCTGCCGCAGCCACATCGTCAGCACCTGTTTGACGTCGATGCTGTGCCAGGAACTGGCGCCGGGGCTGACGTCCACCTTCAGGGAGCGGATTCGGATCTGCCTCCTGTTCCCGTCGGTGGCCGGCATCAGACGGGAGATCTGGAGGAAGAGAGTCGTCTCCTCGTCCGTCGGCCGCAGATGCACCCAGACCACGGCGCGGACGATGCGGCTGGTTTGTAACTTTGGTGTGAAGGAGAAAAGGCAGCACTTCGGTTCCCCGTCCTCCTGAACGACGGAGTCGGCTGCGAGAATAAAAAGTTCTCCATGTCAACATCAGCCTGCAATACCGTGACCCTCCATCAGGGGGTTTTACACAGTTTTACACACTTCATGGGATTGAACCTAGAACCTTCTTTGTACTGGCCAGTAACATTATATAAAATATATTGTACAAATAAATCTGTCGTTAACATATTTATTATTATTATATTACACACATGTAACTGATAGAAATGGGGGGAGGAGGGTTCAAATCCCAGCTCTGGTGCTTGGGTCGATCAAGAACCAAAACCTTCTACAAATATCTGGACACAGTCAAGGTGTTTTTAAAGGCTTCCAGGGGCGGATCTAGGATAATATTTTCACTTAACAAAACTTCCATTCCACCTGTGGATGTACACACAGTACTACAGTACAGTAAGATTTAAAAAAAAACAAAAAACCTTCTTCTCAAACCAACTGTTCTCTGAGACGGAAGAATTTTTCATAAAGAAAAAAAAAGTTTCAACATTTGTCCAGAAGTTGAGCACGAATTTAACAACTTTATTCAATGATAAACTTGTGACGTAATGCCAACAAACTTTTTTTGCCTGTAAATCCTAGCTCTCCGGCCCTCAAACCTATAGCTGTGGGGGCATCTGGGGTGGCCGGTCCTACCCCCCCGCCCCACACACCCCACCGAGAGCCGCCGCTGTGTGAGCCTAACTACGGGGGACCCTGCCGCTGCTTCACTCTCCTCCTGAAATCCATCTCTAAAAGACAAAAACTTACGTTCAGTTCCCGTCAGCATGATCCTCTCGGTGACGGCGTGCTCGTCATCTTCCTCCATCACCGCGTCCCTGTTGTCGTCCCCCACCACGTCGTACTGGTCGAGGAGCTGCTGCAGCGGCGGCGCCTTGGGCAGGAGCTGCTTCACCACCTCCCTGCTGATGTTCGGGGCTTCTTTCATCCGCAGTTTGCTCAGGATCTGGGATTTGATGGCGTTGAGTCGCATGGTCTTCGTCTGCTGCCGCACCTCGCAGGTGGCGCACTGGCCCAGGTCCTCCGGGCCGGGGGCGGACAGCTGAGAGTTCGTTTCTTGGTCACTCAGAACTACTGGACCCAGTGCGATGATGAGTGTGAGACAGAGCGGGACAGGAGACGGCTGCATTGTCCCCTTAGGTGTGGACTTTAGTGGAGACGAATGATTGGAGAGAATCCCCGCTGCGTCACTGCGCTGAGTGTGGATTAATGTCGCGCTCTCACAGGCATCATACTTGATTAGCGCGCAGCTTTTTATACTCCAACTTTAGCCTCTTTTGTGTCGTCAAAAACTATGATTGGCTGGACAAACAACAATGAATTTTCACCGACGGACGTGAAACTTTTTTTTTTTTTTTCCGCCGTCAAACCATAAAGGGAGCGGAGGGAGCGCGCGGCCGTGGTTGGATCAGATCCACCTTTTACTGCGTTGATTTGTTAATGCCCACAGTAAAAGCAGAGGATTATCACGTGTTCACGAATGTTTTCTTTATTATTATTATTAACTGTGCATTTCACCGAAACCAACATTTTTTCCTCACAATAGAAATTTACCGCTTAATAAAAAAAAATTAAGTAATATAACGGTAATAAAGATCACGTGACTATTTTCTGCAATAGTATTAAACGTAAAAAAATAAGAATTTCAAAGAGGTTAATTGGTAATTATTTTTATTTTTCTTTTCTTTTCAGATCATCAGAAAAAAAAAAAGAAAATATGTACAAGCTGGTGTTTTAAAGAGAATGAACGAAGTCACTGCTTCAAAGTTTCCCTAAATACCTGTGGATGAAACATCAGTGTAAGGACATGACGAGATAGCGCCATCGCGTGGCAGTAGTGTCCTACACGAAAGAAAACAAAGAATGTGACTAATAATATGAACAGTACGGTAAAATATGACGGTGTTATGATTGTATATGACATTATATCATAATAAACTGTGATTCAGCATCGACTCAGCAGCGTCGACATCGTGTTTGTTACGAAGTGAAGGTGAGAATAAAAACGACACAATGTTATAATATATATAATGTATAATTCACAATAAAAGAAAACATAAAACACGAGTAAACTGTTTTATGTTTTACAGTTTCTATTAAAATGAAGTACAAGTATTTGCACATATTTACCGTAATAAAAGTATTATATGTGTATGAATCATAAAATATAAAAAATAAATTATATATGATGTATTTAAAGAATACACATATTCAAAATGTTGAATATATTTCACACATAGATATTCGGCAGTCAATATAAAAAACATATATGTACATAATTAAAGATTATTTAAATATATATATTTATAATTTATTTAGTTTTTAAGAAAACCGTTCGTTAAAAATATTGATTTTCCGTTAACCGTAAAGCGTTTGCGTCCCCGGACGCTGAGCCTGACGAGACAAACGCGGGGATTAAATGCCCTCATGAGCAGCGCTTTGTAGTTGCGTCTACTTCCGCTTTGCCCAGCGGACGTACGACGTGTTGTCAGCGACGAAGGATCCTGACACATCAACAGGAGACGAACATTTTCTCTTCAGTGGACTTGATCTAAATAAATACCCCGCTCCTCGACTCTAACGGTGGGTCAGTGACGGTGTTTACGCCTTGTTTTTCCAACTTCATCCACGCACGTAATCGTCGCTGTTATTAACGTCCATCTTTACGTAAATAAGTCCTGGAGGAGAGCTAGTATGGCTAGGGCTATGTGCTGGGAACCAAGATTAGTCCAACCAAAGTTCCGTGTTTATATATATGTTTAACAATGAACGTTACGGCTTCTTAAACAACAAAACATCTATTTTCCGCCTGTTAACTAGATTCAAAGTCCGGTTGACATTTTAACGTTATATTTACAATAACCGTGCATGCGGTTCTAACTGCTATTTATTCAGCATATAGTCCGTGCCAGTGTTCCATCCCGTGCGTGTGTCCCTTTAAATATGGTACGCACGAATATTTGTGCAAACACACACATGGGTGTGTGTGTTGTTGTTTTTCTCATTTACACGTTATGTTTACATGCTGTTTAAAAGGTTAAACAAACGGCTGTGAAACAGTGAAAACACAGACGTAAATATGAAGTTTTTGGAAGTTTCCTGGACGTAAATCTGAATTCCATCTAATGCCGTCTTAATTCTGGCTGCAGTTTGACCCCGTCGCCGACTTCAGTCCACTGTGGCAGATTTCACTGTGCCATGGAGCAAAGTTCAGCAACGTTACATAATTGTGTTGTGTTTTTGTTTTTCACTTTTAGACGTGTGGAGAGGTCAAAGTTCAGTCGCAGGTCTCTGTCCTGTTTACTGCTTCAAGTCTTAATTGTTTGACTCATTCACAACAAAACCATCAAGTGGCCATTTTCTGATTATTAACTAATAGTTTTGACTTAGTTTTCATTACTCTAAACCAGTTTCCCAGAGTGAAGGGGCTTCTGTCCCCTAAGATGTAACGTAGGTTTTGGAGTATGCAGATATTCCAAATTGTTACATAATGAATTTGTTACTAATGTTTAGTTTGTGTCTCACTCGTTGTGTCCACAGAGCAGAATGAATGTGGGTGTGGCACACAGTGAGGTGAACCCCAACACCCGGGTGATGAACAGTCGAGGGATCTGGTTGACCTACGCCCTGGGTGTCGGAATACTGCACATCGTACTGTTGAGTATTCCCTTCTTCAGTGTTCCTGTGGTGTGGACGCTCACCAACGTCATTCACAACTTGGTAATTAACACCTCAGAGGTCGAGAGGTCGTGAGCAGTGAAGCTGCCCTCTCTCTCTCTCTCTGTAGTTTCTTGTTTTTCCTGGTGAATTTCTATACAATATGACGGCGTACATGTAAGTTACTCAGGAAGTTTCGCAGTTTTTTACCAGTATACGATACAGTGGCAATGATACGATATATTGCGATGCTACAATCTGGTTTCCCAGTATATTTTAAAATATATTTTGTTTTTACCAAGTACTTTAAGGGAGATGTTGATGCAGTACTTTACTCTGCCACATGGGAGTGAGGTTTTACTGTTTCTAATTTTTCTTGTCTTCTTCTTTAGGGAATGTATGTTTTCATGCATGCAGTAAAAGGAACGCCTTTCGAGACCCCAGACCAAGGAAAAGCCAGACTACTGACACACTGGGAACAGCTGGACTACGGCGTCCAGTTCACTTCATCCAGAAAGTTCTTCACCATCTCCCCCATCATTCTGTATGTATTAATCATCATCATCATCATCATCATCCATCCTTCTCATTTTAATATAGGAACTTTTTCTTTTTTCAAGGCGTCAAATTCTGATAACAGTCCTACAGTCCTCCATTAAAAAACATTTTTTGTTTTTAGATGCACAAACACACAGTTGTAAGGATGTAACGATTCACTGAACTCATGATACGATGAGTCGTCATTATACAGACAAACTGTGACCAAATCCAACGGTCCTTTATTCTTAAGAACTCTGTAAAATCCCATCACCGACAGAAATGGTCTGTGAACCTCATCAACTGGAAGCATTCTCTTAAATAACCAACTTTTCTAGGCGCATACTGCCACCTAGTGTACTGGAGTGTAATAGTATGACCAGTGACATAACGCAGCCTTACACTTTGATACGCGATTCATATTTTTATTTCAACCGTTAAGAATTGTCCAGCATTTGTATCGGTTTTTATTCACATCGTTACATCGCTGTATTTGAATAGATAACGCAGCCTTACACTTTGATAAGCGATTCATATTTTTATTTCAACCGTTGAGAATTGTCCAGCATTTGTATCGATTTTTATTCACAACACATCGTTACATCGCTGTATTTGAATAGCCTCAGTAAAGTGTTGTTGTTGTTTTTTTTTTTAATGTTTCCTTTTTTTTTTTGCTTCTTCACAGCTACTCTCTGGCAAGTTTTTATACCAAGTACGACACTACGCACTTTGTGATAAATACTGCGTCGCTGCTCAGCGTCCTGATCCCAAAGCTCCCGCAGCTGCACAGAGTCCGAATCTTTGGCATCAACAAGTATTAAGACACTGGGACAGAGTTGTATGAAAAAAAACAAAACAAACAGTTGTTGTTGAGTTGTATCCACCATGTACCATGACGTCAGGTAGGTGTCGCTATTGTCACGCCGAGCGTCAGGCTGGATATGAAGTGATGGAGCGGGCCAGACTCCGTGTGTGTGAGAGTGTGTGTGTGTGTAGTCGGAAGGATGCCACATACAAAAACTAACTTATGTGAATATTTAAAGATGTGTTTTGGCCGGTGCTGACCTGGGCTGGCCCAGGCCTCACAGCTGTTCAGGTCGATTTTCTTTTCGTCTTCAGGTCACATGATGTGTACATGGGTGACTTGGTGTGTTTTCAGCAGGGATGCCCGATATTAACTTCCTGCTAATATCTGATGTACCGATGTTGTCCAAACACCTCATTTCTGACTTCGATATCAACCGATACGATATATGCAGCCGTTTTCCCCACAAACAAAATCTCAGTAGCTCACAAGCGATTCCAGCATTTTTGGGGAAACCCAGACATTGTGTTATCGGGTTTTCATTATCGAAGGCATAACCGATAATCATTCTTACAGATATTACATAATTAGGCTAATATCGGGCCGATAATATCGGTTGGTCGATATTATCAGACATCCCTAATTTTCAGTGATGTTTACTTCCTGGTACATGTCCATTAGCCCAGAGCGTCAGTCCTTGTTTCCCATGATTCCCTCTGGTGTTTGAATCATTTCTTTGAAACAGTGTTTTTTTTTTTGTTTTATTTGTTAATGTTTGGTTCTGTATGATGTAATAAACATTCATGTGAGGTTGAGACAAATCATTAAGAGCGTCTCTGGTTCACTTTGTTACATTTCTGCTATAGTACACCAAGTATTACTCAGCATGTTGTACTGCAGTACAGTGTGTATTCAGCTCTTTACTTTGAATATTCCTGTTTCTGTGACAACCCACGATAATGATCTGAGAATGAAATTAAAGTAAAAAAATTTAATGGAATTTAAAACATGGGCAGAAACTTTACAGCAATTATAAAAAAAGAACCGATGGCACAGGAACTGTTTTTTTAAAAAGAACCCTGGATTAAAGGTTAGTTTTCTAAATCCTTCCTGTTTCTGTTCAGATCCTCACACTGTGACCTCAACACTCCTCTGTAGACCTCGAAGCGATGGTTCAAATCCTTCAGAGAGTGGATTTTGAACTTAGTCCCCAAGGCCCCGTCAGCAGAGCTGGTGCCATAGAAGAGGCAGCCAATCCTGGAGTGGACCAGTGCCATGGCACACATGATACACGGTTCTCGGGTCACATAAAGGTCATAGCCGGTGCATATGTAAGGCTGCGAGCCTGTGTTTGAGTCACAAACGCGGTCATCGTGGGATGATTCTGGTGCCGTGAACCGACATTCAGGATATTTGTCAAAGGAGTAACAGCCCCCCCCCTGGCTCCGGGCCACCAGGTCAATGCAGACCATGACGGCGTGGTGCAGCGGGTGGTCTCGTCTGCAGTCGTGACCCACGGCAACCACCCTCTGCGTCGCAGAGTCAACCACCACGGCCCCCACCGCCTCCATCCCCAGCTCCTGAGCAGCTCTGGCAGCAGCGACCGCAGACATCATGTGACCGTGCATGTTAGCTTTCTGAGCCGAGCTGAACAGCTCCCCCTTCAGGGCGACCGTCACCTGTTTGTCCTCGTGAAAGGACGTGGGCCAGTGTTTGCTGGCCAGTTCAAACTGAGGTCTGGTGAGGGGGGGGCGTGAGGGGACCTGAACCACGAAGAGTTCACCCAGTCCATCGGGCCGCACTCCCTCGGAGGAGAACAGGGAGTCGGTGGTGGCGTCCTTTGAGTCTGGCACTTGACTGACCAGACACACCAGCACCTCCAGAGGGTGAGGACTGCCCTTCTCCTTACACGCACGCACCCTCTTGATGTGCTGCAGGCCAGCGAGCGGGTACCGGAGGTTCAGCTCCCGGACGAGCCGTGACGTCTCCCTCTTGTTGACGATGGGCGCGGCGTAGGCCTGGACCAGCTGGATGTCCTGTGACTGGTCGTCCGACAGGACAGGAAGTGCCGTCCATGAGTCGGAGTCGTACAGCGAGCCTTTCAAACGCTTCACCTGCGGCTCCATCGTTAACGTTCTCCTGTGAATACGATTTCACACCAAAGGAGACAAAGTTAGTGCGTGTGGCGACTGAGACCTCCTGTGATTGGTCAATTAGTGCGATGGCTTCAAGGAACCTCTGGCATATTTCAGTGACAGTTTTTATTTATTTGGTGTCTTCGTGTGACAAGTTGTCCGTGTATTCAGGTACACAGTACTGTAGTAGTTACTAGGTATGTGTCCGATATCAACCATACTGACATAGCAGGGCAGTGGTGCCCTGGTGGTAAAGGAAGGTGTTTCTCAATTATTTTCTGCCATGCCCCCCCTAGGGGACAGACGTTTTTTCACCGAATTGAAATACTAGTGAGCGCCTAGTAATATTTATTTATTTGTATAAAATACATTAATAAAATGAGCTGCAATGCTGCCATCTAGTGACCACCTAATATCGGACAGATAATTCCAGGCATCACTAATACAAACATAACTACATGTGGTGGTGGACTGACAGGTCAGCTCAGTCTCTTCTCACTTCCTTCCCAGAACCAGCTTCGTCCTAACGACCTTCGGCACGTGTCTAAAAGTCAGTGAAACTCTGTTTCCCCGAGTCAGCGTCTGTCCCAGCTGCGCCCCGGCTGCAGACAGGTTGACCACCTTGTCCGTGACTGTGTCGGTGGTGCACGGTTGGATGCCGTGAAGGAGGAGCTTGTACATTTCCTCCTGCAGGATCAGGAGACTGCGCGGCTTCACCAGCAGGGAGAAGAGGTAACGGTCGTCCTCTGTCTGTGGAGACGCCCCCTCCTGGCTGCTGACCGGGGAGTAGAAGTCCAGCAGGGTGTGAGAGCCCAAGCTGATGGTGGTGACGGTGGGATGGTAGAGGGGGCCGTCCTCGTGAGGCATGATCCCTTCCCCCTGCTTGTACTCGTTGACCAACACGTGGTTGGCCGTCTTCCCGCTGAACGCCCCAAGTGAGGAAATTTTCTGACAGTACGTCTGGAGCCAGTCGGGCATCTCCTCAGCTAGCATGCCTCTGTGATGAGGTAACCCTCCCCAGTTCTGCAGCCTGCGGCCCGACAGCTGTGTCCACTTGGTCCTTGGAGACTTGTAGACCTGTTGCAGCAGGAAGGACTCCTCCTCCTCTGATATAAAGTCTGGGATGTAATAGACTGTTGGTAGAGCGTCAAGTATAGCAAACTGCTTCAATTTCTCCACAACTCTTGTTGGGTGTTCCATGTCTCCTTCAGAAAAGTCAACACAGGACTCTTGTTAAAACCCAACCTGAAGACTGTATCCCGGTGTCGTCCATGTTAGCATTTTAAGCCTATTACACCTATTTAGCCTATGTGATGCGAACCTTATTTTTATTTTAACATTGACATTTTGATTTTATTTCTGTTAATCTGCATTATCATTGGTTTATTGCTCAGCGGTCAAAGCTTTTACATTAAGACGTGAATAAACAAACTGTGGATGGATGGTGAGTAAATACATTTAGAACAAACGCTTCATTTACGGTGACGTTTCACACACAAATAAAAACTAAAATGTTGCAACATTAATATAAAGCTCATTGTTACCTTGGTATGTCTTCAGAAGAAAATGTACAGTTTTAAGCTGACTGCGCTCGTCGCAACTCATTTGCGCACCGTACTAAACCGTCCCCCTGAAACAAAGCCACATACTAATTTGGACCCGTGTGTGATTTCACAAAAAATGCTCGTAATTTGAAACATATTTGTATAGGTTAGTTATATTGTTCATTTGGTCTTGATTTATTTTATTAGGAGGTTTTTATCTTTGTGCTAAATTCATACCGGAGCTGGTGAGCTAATGAGCTAATGCCCTCATCGGCGGAATTATTTTCCAGTGACACGACCGGAAAAAACCGGAAACTTCCTGCTTGATGTCCTAAACTTAAGGGTTAGGGTTTTAGTCTTCGGTGTATTTTGTACTGATGTTATTAACGTCGTGTATCTGTCGGTGTTGACACAGACCAGATGTAAAGTCTGTCTGAGGTCTGTGGCCGTTTTCAAAATGTTTTCTTCTAAACTGAGTCATGCAAAGAAGCTGCTCCGGGTCGGACACACACTCCGAGGAGGGAGAGCCTCCTCATCGACGCTGGTGTTGGGCATCGAGACGAGCTGTGATGACACTGGAGCGGCCGTGCTGGATGAGACCGGCAGGATACTAGGAGAGAGTCTGCATTCACAGAAAGAAGTACATCTGAGGTAAATCTGTTATTATTATTGTTGTTGTTAATAAAAGGGTGAACTCTAGGTCCAGCAAACAAACAATAAGAAAAAATAACTAATTAGAACGTTTTTAGCTTTTACTTTCCTACAAAATATGGTAGTTTTAACACAGTTTTTGAGCACCAGCTTCACTGTAGGCTAGACTCCCATTGATGGACATAAATTGCACACAAAACTGAACTATTTTATTCATCCAAAAAAACCAAAATAATCATTTTGACGTCAGTTATGATGGAAATGTACAGACCCCTAAAGGGACGTGGGGAGAGAAAAACTGTTTCTGAAGTTGATTTTTGTCGTCACTGTAGGAGCGGAGGCATCATTCCCATCGTGGCACAAAAGCACCACAAACAAAACATAGAGCGTGTGGTCCAGGAGGCGTTGGACAGAAGTGGCGTCGACCCGAGCCAGCTGGCAGCCGTGGCGACTACGGTGAAGCCGGGCTTGGCTCTAAGTCTGGGCATCGGCCTGGAGTTTAGCCAGAGGTTTGTGAGGCGACATGACAAACCCTTCATACCCATCCATCACATGGAAGCTCATGCCCTGACTGTCAGGATGCTGCATCCTGTGAATTTTCCCTTTCTGGTTCTGCTGGTTTCTGGCGGCCACTCGCTGCTCGCAGTGGCCAGAGGAGTGGACGACTTCCTGCTGCTGGGTCACACTCTGGATGAAGCTCCAGGAGATACGCTGGACAAAGTAACTCCTCCCACGTCACACGTACTTGTAGTTGCTGGTCATGTCGGCACGGGCCACGGTCCGAGGTCGTGAGCGTCGGTGTAAGGTTACGCGTCTCCCTCCGAGGTCATAATTCTTTATGTGGATTCACAGGTGGCTCGACGTTTGTCCCTCATCAAACACCCAGAATGCTCCACCCTCAGTGGAGGACAGGCTATAGAACATCTGGCAAAGACTGGAGACAGAAAAAAGTTTGTCTTCACGACACCTATGGGTCAAGTCCACGACTGCTGCTTTTCTTTCGCAGGTTTAAGAAATCAAGTATCGATGACTGTAATGAAAAAGGAAGCGGAGGAAGGTACGTGTCAGCGCAGATCTCCAACAGTACTACGTCTGTGAAGTACTGGTATAACAAATATTCAACAGTTTGTACTGAAAGAGTTCCCTCCTCACGGTTGAGGTTCTCTCCTCTGTCTGCAGGTATAGAACAGGGAACGTTGTTGTCGTGTGTGAATGACATCGCCGCTGGTGTTCAGTACACCGTGGCCTCTCATCTCGCCAAACGTACCCACCGTGCCATCTTGTTCTGTAAGACACGTGGTCTGCTGCCGTCTCCCAGGCCCACTCTGGTGAGTCAGAGGTTGACTCCTGAATCTGTTTCCTCTCCTGACCCACATATATATATGTGTGTATGTGTATATATGTATATACAGTATATATATTTATATATATGTGTAATGAGTGTTTCCGTCTTTCCTCAAAGGTTCTGTCTGGAGGAGTTGCCAGTAACCAGTACATCAGAAGGACTTTGTCAGTCATTGCGGAGAAGACTGGTCTGGACCTGGTCTGTCCTCCAGCCCAGTTCTGCACCGACAATGGTGTCATGATCGCTTGGTGTGTGTATATATGTGTGTGTGTGTGTGTGTAAGCCAGCTTCCATAAGTGATTCAGATTTCACATCATTTCTTTTTTCTACCAGGAACGGCGTGGAACGTCTGAGAGAAGGGAAAGGAATTCTGCCTCCTGACGTAGACGTTTTCTACGAGCCGAGGTGAGACGCTGAGAACTGTGGGTGGGTGGGAGCGGCGGTCTGTGACGGTGACGGTCTGTGAACACATCAACAGTCTGTCTGTGAAAGCTGTGATGTGTTCTGACGTCACCTGCAGATTAAACACATCCAACTGCTGTTTTCCAGGTCTCCACTAGGGGTCGATATGACAGCGGAGGTGAGGGCAGCAAAGATCAGTTTGCGTTCAGTCAAGATCAAGGTCCCTGACTGACTCTGACTCTGCTTCAGTCCTGGGTTCAAAGTTCAAACTCCTGGTGTAAATGTATGAACTGGTTTGATCCATTTTTAAAAAAATTAAATCACTGTTAACATTGTTGTCAACTTAAATGATGCATCTGGAGTGGTACGATTCCCATCTGCCGTACAGAAGGTTCTGGGTTCGATTCCGTCCTAGGGTGTGATTTCTCTGACTCACCACTGTGTGGAGCACCTCTGTGACTTGTCCCAGTCATCCACTGGTAATTATAAAATAATCTGACATTTAAAGATGCGTAAATGAATAGGTTCATTTCAGGGAGTTCGTATTGTAAATACATCCCATCACTGTTGAACATTTAAAACCTGAATATTTTCATTTAGAAAAATTAGGGATGTCCCATTAACTTTTTACCGTTATCCGATATTGACTTAATTTCTGATTCCAATATCAACCATACCAATGTGGCGTGGCAGTGGTGGCCTAGTGGTTAAGGAAGTGAAGTGCAGCCTGCTCACTAAGGTGATGGGTTAAAGCAGTGTTTGTCAATTATTTGCCATGCCCTCTTTATCTGTACAAATCACGCAGCATAAACACAGGAAATACTGGACAACAACGAGCGTTTTACTGCAGTGTTCACTCTAACACAGGGTCGGGTTGAAAACAACAACATTAAAACTAATCACAGTCAGAAGTGTAACGACCTAAGAACGAGAACCAAACAGATGACAGGACGGGTGACGGGAGTGGGCGTCGCCAACACTAGAGCTCGTCGTGTTCGTAGATGTTGTACTCCTTAGCACTGATCATTCCGTCCTTGTCCCGGTCGCTCTTGTAGAAAATATCGTCCAGAATCTTCTCGTAGTACAGGTCGTCGTGTACTTTCCCGCCCTTTTCATAAGACAGTTTCAAATGTTCTTTCACCTGAAACGACAGCGCCACCTGACTGGTCACATCGAACAAAAACCTTTAATGCTACTGCCAGTTCTATCATTACTACTGCAGTACTGCCACAAGCCTCTAGTTTTTTTTTTTTACCTCAGTCCTTGTCAGGACTTTGTCTGCGTCTTGGTCCACTTCTTTAAAGGCGTCCACACTTCGAGGTCCTCTGGAGACCGCGTAGACCTCCACCTCAAATATCACAGTAGCATTGGGTGGAACGGGCTCTGTTTTTGGTTCAAAGGATGACAAGACAAAGGTCAAGGAGAGGTCACAAACATGGGTTGATTATTGTAGTACAAAAACTGCATCAATAACTGACCGTGTACGGTCACAGTGTGACCACAGAGAAGACAAGGCAAATGGACGCTGCTTTGGACCAGTGGTTCCCAAAGTGGGGGGTGTGGATGCTCAGAGGGGCAAATTACTTTCAATGACCTACCTCTTTATTTGTCTCATAGCAAGGACTGAACTGAATTGCTAATTTTCTAATTGTTTAATAATAGGAATTACAGTGTAAAAAAAAGTAAATATATGGGTGGGTTGGGGGGACACTGAATAAGAGGGAAGTTTTGGGGGAACTGTTTTCAACAGATTGATAAATGAATATATTTCTCACTTCTTTACTTTCCTAGTTTATTACTTGTAGGGGAACTCCTGTAGCTCAGATTTTCTGACATACCACCAGAGGGAGCCCAAGTGCGCCATTGTTTTAAAACTGCTGCCACTCATACAGAAATACACTGTTTTTAAACCATACTAGGGATGTCCGATATGAACTTTTTGTCGATATCTAATATGCTTATATTGTCTAAACACTTGATTTCCAATTCCGATATCAACTGATACCGATATATGCAGCTGTTTGCCCCCAAAACTGAGGTTTGAGCAACATAAGAACAAATGTTAGTGTCAGTGATGACGACAGAGAGAGGAAGTGATGTCACAGTGGTTAGTCCAGAGATGAACAGATAAAATAGGAAATTGCATTTATCTACAGTTACGTATATGACGTAACTGAGCATAGGAGCAGCGAATGGAAGAGAGAGAGAGTTCCCGTGGAACCGAGCAGTGACTGTTTGGTTCTTCGACGTGCACCAAAGCGTACCAGAGACAGAGAGAAGAAGAAGAAACCAGTCGTCCTCTGCATGCTCACAGTTCATGCCACAGTGTCAGCTGTGATACTGAGTCAGTTAGTCTGCTGGGAAAACAAAAACAACAAAGCATCAACACAGTACGTTTTGGATTTTTAAAAGTTTTAGATTTTTTGTTTTTTTTTACACATTTTTTAAAACAATATTAACTAATGATGTCCAATAATATCGGCTGACCGATATTAGTATATTTATATAATCTGTAAGAACCGTTATCGTGATTTCCCTCTGATAATGAAAACCAGATAACACAATGTCTGGGTTTCGCCAAATGGAAAAAAACCCCACTGTATAAGAAAGTGAGAGCCACTAGATGGCAGCATTGCAGCTAATTTTATTATTATATTTTAATAATCAGTGGATTGTATGCAGAATGTTGGTGCCAACTCATACAGTGGTTTGTACTGCTAAATAAATAAATATTACCAGGCCCTTACTAGTATTTTAAATCTCTGCCACATTTACTCACCTTTTCCTTTTTCTCCAAATGCCAGCTCAGGTGGAACCGTTATTTTCCTTTTCTCTCCAGGACACATATTCATCATCCCGATATCAAGGCCTTTAATGACCTGTCCGACCCCCAGGACGAACCACTGAGGGTGGCCGGCTTTCTCTGAACGACTGAGACAAAAACAGGGTCCACTCGTAACCTGGGACTGAGTTTAACTCAAAATAAGCACCACTGAGCTCCTTATACCTGATAAATAATTTAATACAATTACTAGGTATATACTACTAGTGGTAGAGACACCAATGTTTCTGGTGCTAGCACAGAAGCTAAACAGTTTGAGGAACGACCCTCGTGACATATAATGCTAGCCTAAAATCCTATCAAATGCTAACAGAACTTTGCATTTAAGCTGGTCTCTACCTGCAGTAGAACTGGTGCCCATTTTCGGCGAGGTAGCCATCGTAGTGGGCGTTCATCAGATCTCCCTTTTTACTGCTCTGACTGCATTCTTCAGGCTTAAACACCACCTCGATCTTCACCTCCCCGGTCGGCTCATCTGCCGCGGCGCTAACTGACCACAGGCACAGCTGTGTGGAGGTCAGGAGCAGCAGTGCCCTGTTCAGTGTGTTCCAAAACGTCTGCCTCATGCTGTTACCGTTACTGTTACAACTGCTGCAACTGCCGGAGCTGTGCCTTCGTGGCAACGTCTGTGAGCGAACGTTGGAAACAGAGTGCGGGGGGCGGGGTGAGCTGCTGTCAATCATATGGGCTTTGCTGCCCTGATTAGAGTCGGTCAGGTTTAACAGTTGTATAACGCCTTTATCTACCGCCTCTGCCAAAGTCATGGTTTAAACCGCTCGGACTATTGCGAGTATAAACATACAATAATAGTGCGATAAATCGTATTTATTGTGGATATATTGCATCCATGGGAGAAAAAGTTGGCAGAAATTATACCTAACAGACTACGCTGAGGGTATATCAACTGTTATAGGAACAGTTATTTTTTTCTGCAGTTACAGGAAACGAAGATCCGATATTTACATCAATAATCCTCTAATTATGGAGTAGTTGTTGACATTGATACCATTACTGTAGACTGTCAACTTAAAGCAATTATTATTTCTAATTATAATAATATTATTAATAATAATGATTTCATAGTATTTCAATAAAGTACGTGCTTTCTGATAACGCTAATGCGATACTGTCAAGATTGACATTACCTTGGTCCAATAGCGTACCAGTTTTTCTTTTACGTCACCAACTTACGTCACAGTCCCTCTACATTTTCACCAATCAAAGCTCAGAAGGTGTGTACCTGTTTGTATTTATTCCCGGACACGGCTGACTCAGAGAGTCATCTCCTGTCGTCGTTCAAGGTGCCGTCTACCCGTCACCAGCCTTCTTCACACCCCTGCGTTCTTGGAACTACGACGTTCTCTTTAACTGCTCGACAGGACTGAGATGTTACAGTTTAGGTTTACCACACTGCTTAAGGAGTTGTCTGAAGTCACACTCAAGCGTCCGTTGGCTGATTGTAGACAGAGGAGCTGGTTACTGAGTCGCCAGCGCCGTTTCTGCGCCGCCTCGGTTGATGCTAGGGCTGTGTGCACTCACCTTAAGGCCCTCCATGCCGCTGCTCACCGGCCGGCGCTCCGCACCGCGCCCTGCTTCTTATCAACACGATCATTTTGTACAAAAACAGAAGGCGTCGTCGAACAGGAGGAGCAACTGAAGAAAGATGAAGGTGTCAACCTGGCGACCGGTGAAAAGTAGGTTTTTTTATTTATTTTGTTAAAGAACAGCCGCCGGATGTTGACAGGGATGAAGGTTGTACGACGACAGAACAACCACATGCCGCTGTGACGCGGAAAACTGTCGCGAACAACACAAACTACGACCCAAAACACGCATGTATAACGTATATAATGTAATATACAGTACAATATACTAGTAGTATTAATAAATAAATTAAAAATAACATTTTTGTCGAAAAAAAACAACAACAACAAACGTCAGCCTACATGGCGACAACCGTAGCGGGGCTAGAACAAAAATATATATATTATTATATTATAAAAAAAAGTTTTTGCTCTTTGAAAAGTCCGGCGGGGTGTTGTCTCCTCTGACCTCTAACTGTCCGGGAACGAGGCTCAATCCCGGCTTCATGCTGCGAAGCCACGCGACCGACGGCCGGGAGCGCGAATGTGGGCAACAGTAGTAACGGTTTGAAGATCAGCTGAGAAATGTAACATCATGTGGTTGAAATGCAGTCGTCGATTGTCACAGTCGCCTTGTTTGTCCGTTATTAATACTCGTACTGTCGTGATAAATAATTATTAAATTTAATTTGAAATTCATTTGGTTTTTAGATGCATTTTTTTCTTCAATGTAGCTATTGGTCAGTTGTTATATTGTTACATCATACTGTAGATATATCAGTTTTATGTTTTAAATACCTTTTCATACATTTAACTGTTGTTATACATGTATAACTACACGTATAAATGATCACGTGACAAATACGCGTTTGAACTTGAAGGGAAAAGGTCAAAAAGTATAGTCAAATTTAAAGTAGTATTTGAGTTTTTTTGCTCACTGTTTGTCACCTTCAGGACTTGTTTGGACTGGACCCTCTTGGTTATACAGGAGCTGCTGGCGGTGCAGGTTCAGTAATGTATGCTGGAGGCAACAGCACTCTGCTTCCATTAGACATGCCTGACAGACGGCGTTCTGGTCTCTACTGGTTTGTTTGCTCACCTTAAAGCACTTTACCATAGGTTTGAACCTAGTGTTTACCCTGTAGGGAACAGATGTCCTGGAGGCAGGTGGAGGTGCATGGACTGGGAGGAAGGTGATGAGGTTCAAGCACATCCATCATCGAAGCCGAGCTGACAGATAATAATTATCAGAAATGAGAGATGTAACGTCGTAACGATGCATCGTGAAATGGTTAACATCGGTGTGCGGATTTTCTGTAAAGAAATTTCTATTCTGTTGTTTAAGAGAACGATTTCAGTTGATGATGGGATTTGGGAGTCATTGGATTTGGTCAGAACTTGTCTTGAGCTCATTCAATACAATCCTGATAAAATTGTATTGTGAACAAAAAAAATAGTGATAACATCGTGATCGCCAACAACAACAAAAATCGTATCGCGAAACAAACACTAAAAAAAATCGTGATAAAATCGTATCGTGAAACCAAAAAAATTGTGATTGTGAGGAACCACCATAAAAAGTTACTTAAAATCACGTTGTGTACAACTACAACAATAATCCTGATAAAATTGTAGCATAAACAAACCATAAATTCGTGATAAAATCGTATCATGACTTTATGGTTCCATCCCTATCAGAAATGATTGGACGTTGGACAGACGGACTGCTCTGTGATTTTATCAACCATACTGAGAAAACAAACTCTGCTGTGGTTATTTATGTGAAACTAAATGTTTACAGTGTGTACAGTAACACGCAGTACTGAGTCTTTGAACGTCCCACTGTATGAAACTGTGCCGTGAGTTGCATCATCATCATGTGGCGCTGCTGACTGTGAATTCTCTGACCTGTTTCTCCCTCTCTTCTCTCCCCAGAAGGAGAAACGCCGGCATCCTCCCAAGTCTGGAGGACCTGTTGTTTTACACGGTGGCTGAAGGTCAAGAAACAACCATTCCTTCTCATAAATTCCTCACAGTGAGTCTCTCCTCTCCATCTGTGTCACTCTTCTGGACTCGGCAGCTCAGTTATTTTTCTGCCACGCCCCCCTACAGAAGTTTCTTCAGCCATTTCTTTACTATAAAATAATAATAATTTTTTCTTTTTTTTTTTCCGTTCAGGCACTTAAAGCCACGGGGCTTCGCAGCGGAGATCCTCGTCTGAAGGAATGCATGGAAACACTGAAAGAAACCTTGAATAACACTGAAGACGGTGTGACCCTGGACAGACACCTCTTCAAGAAGTGAGTGCTCATTGGTCGGCACTGTTTTATCATTGTCGGTGTGGGATTCAGCTGGTGTCCTCTGACCTCTGACCCTTTTGAACCTGTTGATGTTTTGGCTCTGAAGGAAAAAAAATCGAAAAAGTTTAAATCCTGATGTGTAATCTAAAAAGCTGTCCGTGGTCCACAGGTGCGTCCAGAGCAACATTGTCCTGCTGACCCAGGCGTTCCGCAAGAAGTTTGTCATCCCAGACTTCGAGTCTTTCACCTCCCACATCGACCAGTTGTACGAGAGCGCCAAGGACCTCTCTGAAGGACAGGTGGGTCGATCCAGGGTCACCTCACTGGTTTCAGTCACTCTTTGTGCTTTAATGATAATTAATACTAATTAATACAGTTATCCTCTAAGCCAAACAGGAAGTCTTAGGTCTCAAACAGGAAGTCTTAGGTCTCCAACAGGAAGTCTTAGGTCTCCAACAGGAAGTCTTAGGTCTCCAACAGGAAGTCTTAGGTCTCCAACAGGAAGTCTTAGGTCTCCAACAGGAAGTCTTAGGATGTTAGTTTTGACTCTGTCACTTCTGTCCATCTTTGAATCTGTTTGTGTTTTTTCCCCAGGTTGCAGACTACATTCCTCAACTGGCCAAGTTCAGTCCTGACTTGTGGGGCGTCGCTCTGTGCACAGTGGATGGACAAAGGTGTGACGTTTTCTCGTTATATTCGCACTTTATATTTACTTTACTTCAAAATATACTGTAGTATCTTCAACTACGGAGAGAGGTTTTCAAGACTACTTTGTGATTTGTTGTTTTATTTTTCCTGACATCCTATCTAAACCCTGCTGGGCTCAGGGTCAAACCACAGGCAGTAGTTGCATTAACCACACATCAGAAAAGGAAGCAGCAGAAAAGTACTTGATGATATTATCACGGTGTTAACTTTGGCAACTGTAATATATGTGAAATACTCGGGATTACTGTTTGTTACTGTGTAGTACTGCTGTGATCTGGATCTGACCGTCTGTAATCACAGCCTTTCACTGACTCTCCGTCTGTTGCAGACACACGGTGGGAGACACCAAGGTCCCGTTCTGCCTGCAGTCGTGCGTCAAGCCTCTGAAGTACGCCGTTGCCGTCCATGACCACAGCACTGAGCACGTGCACAGTTTCATCGGGAAGGAGCCCAGCGGCCTGCGCTTTAATAAGCTCTTCCTGGATGAAGATGGTGAGGACGTGGTCTGGACTGGACTGGACTGGTCCGGTCCGGTCCAGTCCGGTCCTTCTTATCACACATGCATTTTTCAGTTTGGATAAAAGTGAACATTTTAAAAATATTTACACCACAGCAGTCGTTTTTGGTCAACTCTCAGTCTGAGCTGCCTGGACCAGGGGTTCTCAAATCCCGGTCTGGGGACCGGGGCTGGTCCGTGGACGCAGTGAAAAAATGTGCTTTAGTTTTAGGATTTTTTTCCATACAAAGATAATCTGTCAATGTTTCAAAACAATCGGTCTGAGTTTGACCTGAAGTACACGTGTGTTTTACTGCAGCTGTATTTCGCTGGACTGTGTATTTCACTCAGCTCTTGTTTTGCAGATAAGCCTCACAACCCCATGGTGAACGCTGGCGCCATCGTGTGCACGTCACTGATAAAGGTAAAAACAGAATGTCTTTTCACTCACGTCTGTCGTTTTCTAGTCTGTGGTTGATTTCAGACCGAGTTCTAAAACACACAGATGAGGGTATGTTAGCTACTGCAATACTACTAGAGTAGTACTGCGTTTTTGAGGTAACGCCTCGTTAACTCCCGTTCCCAAAAACCTCTGGTTTTTATTTTCTACATTTGTTACGTCTCTGGACTTTAAAATGAAACGTTTGTTCTCTTGTCTGTTGCTCTGAGGGTAGATGTGGTGATTAGAACATTCCAGAAGAAATGACAGTTTCTCAGGGAAACAAATGTTTTAGTTCTTGATGAGAATGATCAGAGATGATCGTTTAGATTTGCCCTCTGGGGGCAGTAAAGTGGTGTTACTGTCGTATCTGACATGTATTTTCTCAGTAAATACAAACCAGCACTGAGGCATCAGTTCCATGTGCCACGGTGTACAGTCAGCGGGTCCGCTAAATCACGCTAACACGGAACGCGAAACAGCGCACATCGTCCACGGAGGGACGTGGAGGGTAAACCCACCCGTCCACCATGTTTAATCAACACACACACACACATACACACACACTGGTGGTTCACAGCAGGGTGAGGTGAGGTCAGGTGTGAGCCCCTGGTCTGGAGTTTTTATCTCTGACCTTTGACCTGTGTTTTCAGGTTGATACAAAAAAAAAAAACCAGAAGAAGAAAACAGTTTAGGCCAAAAGTGTTTTTAAATCCTGAAAGTATTTACATAGAATGTATGTGAAGATATTTTTACATAACACAGTAAGAGTGTGTGTGTGCACGTGTGTAGTACTATGCAAAGTTTTAGGCAGGTGTATACATGTACTTTCTGCCCCAGCAGTACAGAAGGTATTTAAAGCCGACAACATACATC